CAACTTTCACATGCGTTACCCAATCATTTCAATATTGTGCAAAAAAAGTCATTTTGAAAGATTAAGAAATAATTCTCAGAATGAACGGCTCATTCTTAGGGGGATGCCTGATTTGGCACAACTTAAAACTCAGCATTAAACTCGGATTCGTATGAATCATTTGAACAGAATGAGAAGACTTCCCTTTCAATACTAATATAAGTAGAATGGCGTATGGTGACTAACTCAATGCTTCAAAATAAAAACACAATCACTATATATTAAATTAAAAAAAACGCAATTCCAAAACATAAGTAACGTATCTAATTGTTTAAGAGCCCATAAGTCAAATAAGGTTGTTTTCTGCCAAGAGACATAAACATACAGACATGCACTAACATGCATGCTGGGATGGAAATAGCAATTCATAGAACACGATGGCATGAACATGCTTGCATACTGACACATCATTTAGCAATGATGCATGTAATGCGGGCTGGGAGCGTGCTGGATCTCTGCCATGACAGTCTGAACACATGTCAAACTCCTGCGCGCACATGACGTCTGTAATTGCTTTCATCGAGTGCAATGGAAAAAATGACCTGAATGAATATGTAACGTTCGGCTGCCTAAACACGGCGACTGTTACCACAAACATGCGCCGTTATGTATTGTGTACATGCAGGGGATGACATAAGATGACATAAGAGAACCAGCGCTGGGTTTTGAATCAACAAGGGCCGTTCACATCCACAGAGCCCATTATAGGCAATTTGAGGTGACATTATGCAAATTTGCAATGATTGCCAGTGATGCCCGCTCAATGTAAAGCCCAAAACATAATTTAAACAAACTGAGTGCAAATGCTTCTAGCCACACAAGCGCAATTTCGTGTGTTAATGTTCTGAAATACGTCAGAATGCAATTTATAACATGCCACTGTCTGTCAGTTTTCGGTTTCAGGCCAAAAACTGAAGAAAAAAAAAAAATGTAATTAATAAATAAATAAATATATATATACATGTGTGTGTGTGTGTGTGTGTATTTATAATGATTAAACTTTGGAATAATTAACATTTTTCAGTGTTTTTTTAAAAGATGTCTCTTTTTCTCACCAAGGCTGCATTTATTTATAACAAAAATACATAAAAAAAAAAAAAAACAGTAATATTGTTAAATATTAAAATTAAAATTATTACAATTTAAAATAAATTTAAAATAACTGTTTTTCAATTTTAATATATTTTAAAATACAATTTACTCCTTTATTTATTCAAAAGTTTGAGTAAAAGTAAGATTTAAAAAAAGAAAAAAATAATACTTTTATATTACATAAATAATATTCATCTAATAATATTAAATGATACTTTTATATATAGCTTTTATAAAGCATATATTAAATTGTTTAAAAGTGACAGTAAAGACATTTATAATGCCACAGAAGATTTCTATTTCAAATAAATGCTGTTCTTTTGAACTTTCTGTTCATCAAAGAATCAGTATCATGATTTTCATAAAAATATAAAGCAACACAACTGTTTTCAACATTGATGATAATCAGAAATGTTTCTTGGGCAGCAAATCAGCATATTAGAATGATTTCTGACGATCATGTGACACTGAAGACTGGAGTAATGATGCTGAAAATTCAGCTGTGATCACAGAAATAAATTACATTTTACTATATATTCACATTAGAAAACAGTTATTTGAAATTGTAAAAATATTTCACAATATTACTATGTTTACTGTATTTTTGATCAAATAAATGCAGCCTTGGTGAGCAAAAGAGAATTCTATCAAAAGCATTAAAAATTCTTAATAATTCCAAACTTTTGACTGGTAGTGTATATGTTTACTTAACACCGAAAAAGGCTTAATTGCATCATAAAACATATCTGATTTCAGTGTGGAGGACACGGTTCACACACACATTCCTTCACACGCAAAGTTAATGTGTCACACTGTATGAACAGTTGTGAGGGAGGGTCACCTGAACTCATGCAAAATATTTCACAATATTACTATGTTTACTGTATTTTTGATCAAATAAATGCAGCGTTGGTGAGCAAAAGAGAATTCTATCAAAAGCATTAAAAATTCTTAATAATTCCAAACTTTTGGCTGGTATATGTTTACTTAACACCGAAAAAGGCTTAATTGCATCATAAAACATATCTGATTTCAGTGTGGAGGACACGGTTCACACACACATTCCTTCACACGCAAAGTTAATGTGTCACACTGTATGAACGGTTGTGAGGGAGGGTCACCTGAACTCATGCGGGAGGAAACGTTATCAGTTTATTCCGTTAATCAAAGGATACACGCCGGACACACTTCCTGTAGAGTTCTGTGGAACTCGGAATGACGACATACCTGATCTCTTAAATATCTCAATTCTGAAAGCAATGAAATATGACGGCGGCGTAATAAAATAAAATATAAGTTTCTAGCATCTCAGATGTTCCTCCTGAGAAGTTCACGAGACCTCAATAATGTCTCAAAGCATGCTCAGAAAAATCTGAGATCTCAAAACGAGCTTTCTCAATAACATTTTCATAATCTAATGCGGCTTTCAATGAGCACATATATAGATGACCATTTGCATATGGCACTTACTTAATTCTTAATTAAACATTTTGTTAGTATCAAACTAGAAGCACAAGAAACTCCGGTTCGCTAGGAAACTCTAGTTTGCATAACAGATTACGTGAAACCCACGAGCCACCTTTCAATTCCATTGAAATTTCATGACTAAAGAGATAAGAAACATCCCAAACTCATTCTTATTCAACACAAAAAGCACGTAGACAATGAGGGAAAATATGCATATCTAAACGCTTTATCAGACTCATGACTGTTATGAGCTACTAAATACTGGTGATGAAACTCTGAGGTCAAGAGGTCAATGCAATATGAGTTTCTATTTTACACAATTAACATCAGAAAGGTTTCAGGTTTAAAGAGTTACAAAAAGGACCATGGTTTTACGTTTTGGGAAATTTACCATGGTACTCTTTTAAGTGCTGGTATTTCGAGGCCTTATTGTGGTACTTTGACATGGTACTCAAAATCATACATATACCACTATAAAGTACCACTTACAACAAAAGATCTAAAAAGGTATTGCCATGTTCAAAATACAATGCTTTTTAAACACAATACCATTGAAAATCTATGACTTTTTTTTTATTTACCTCAGTAACACAATGCATTTTGGATATGTACCATGACAATACCATGGTATGTGAATACAGAAATCATACTGTTTTAAAACATGTTTTAAAAAAAAGCCACTGTATTACCACGTTTGATAATGATAACATGTAAATACCATAGTATGTCTTGTATAATACCATAGTATTGTACCAAATAATTTTATAGTTGTAAACAAATATCATAGTATGTAAATGTTTAGTCATCCAGTACCACGGTAAATATCAATGTACTATGGTACTGCGGCACATGTGAAGCAAAGTGCAAAGTTCATGAACTAAGTATGAACCAATTGTGTATTTTTCAGATGTAAACCTACGTAACCTGTGAGGATTTCCTTTCCGTCAGTTTTCTTTAATGGCGGTTCTCGCGTGCTGTAGCGCAAACACTCTGACGCGCCGCGCCGCGTCGCGTCCTCAGGACATCATTAACGAAACTAATGGCTGCTAAAGCAAAGCCAATAATTCCCACCAACCATCAGCATTCCAGCCATTTAATCCCCCTGCATTAACACCTGAATGAGGCGGAAAGGCAGGCGAACATCTGAGAGGAGAGAGTCAGGAGCTCAGGTGAGACTGGCGCCTGCTGTCCGCGTTTAGACAAACCCGCTGCGCGCGCAATCATCATGAGAAAGCGTCTCTCAGCGCGTCTTTAACACAACGTAAAATACTTTGACATATTTTGATCTCAGGTAAAATATCACACACACAAACACACGCATATAATTGAGAAGTGAGAAAAATGCATGGTAAAATATGACACTAATATGTTTTATGCTTTTATTGTCATGTGACAACAGAATAGTTGTTTGCATGTCAGACTAGGTCTATTCAAGCATTGATTGACTGACAGATGTTTTTAAGTATTAATCTGTAGATAGTTACACACCTTTGGCTTTAAAGCCCCACAAAAATAGAAGCATCATCTGTGGTCAAAACGAACTAATCTTTGCTCAGTGTGTTTCAATCAGCTGGTGTTTTGGAGGTTTTTAGTAGATGTATGAAGTCAAGTTCACACAGCAGAGAAGCCACAGGTGGAGAGGATCACATGAACCTTCACCATCATCCACTAACCACAAACAAACACAATACTGACTGTCTTCATTTTAAAAAAACTAGATTTGGTTTTATCATTTCAAATCATACAAGCTTGTTTTCATCAAATGTTGTGCTTGAAAACAGTTTTCTTTACAATAAATGACGCTTGTGTAATCTAGTGCACCTCATTTATCTTTTATAGTATCCCACCTAAGTCTATGTATATATAATAGCAGGGACAACTAGTTGACTTTTGGATCACCTACTAATCTATTGTACAGAAAATTGCTAGATCAGCATGCAAAAAAACAACAACAAAAAACAACAACCTTTATTTGACTTCCCTAAATGTAACCTCATTGTGCAGTCACTTGCTTTCATTGGAAAGCGCGTATATTTGGAGTCTAAATTACGCATGGGTGAATGTAGGCTGTTTGGAGACTGGAATTACACTTGGATCAATTCGACCTTTTGTTGAAACGCCTTGGTAACAGTTGTGTGTGTGTACCACACAGATGATAGTGAGTGACCGCCTCCTTTCGGCCGCGCCCCCCCCGAGGGGAGGGCAGGGGAGCACGCGTCATCACGCGCTTAAATGCGCCCGGTGACCGCCTCCTTTCGGCCGCGCCCCCCCGAGGGGAGGGCAGGGGAGCACGCGTCATCACGCGCTTAAATGCGCCCGGTGACCGCCTCCTTTCGGCCGCGCCCCCCCGAGGGGAGGGCAGGGGAGCACGCGTCATCACGCGCTTAAATGCGCCCGAGCGCGCTGTCCGGCACTGAGAGACTGTGGACCTGTGGAGAGAGCGCACGGTGCCTTATATACCGCCTATATCTGGGAACCCTGAACGCGGTTTCCTCCGCTCACACAATTGGTCCAGGAGAAGTATTTATTAGGTAGGAGGCGCTCCTGCCAGACACACTTTGTTCATGACTCTGGAAGTCCACTCGAGGGAAAAGCGCAGCGCAGTTTGACATCTGTCCGGGAGCAAGTGCAACAATACAGAAGAAAATTACAACTCGATACGCATCTTGGAAATGGCTTTACATTGCCTTTTGCCTTCGATTTCAACGTTTGCAAACCAGAAGGAGAAACTTTGGGAGGATGTAAGTATTTGACACTTTTGTGCACTTATAAATGGTCAAACTAGGGTGAATTAAGGGGAATTTGGGTAATGCGGACACCTAACCTCAAAGCGGTTAAAACCGCGGAAACACTACAAAAAATAGTTTATAAGCGAAAATATTTGTTTTCCACTTGTTTGCACTAGATAAAATATTGAAGACACACATCGGAAAACGAACACAAACATCATAAATGTCTTTTTTTTATTTTTTTATCTTGTTTCATATATATATATATATTGCTGTTTTCTTGTGATTTAAACTCTTATTTGTTGGTTTGAAGTGTTGAGGTGACAATCACAGTAAACGGTACATGTCAAAAGTGAAATGCTTTCTAAATGAGTCATGCAAAACCATCTGACAGAGTTTGAATGCTAAGCACCTTTGATTCTGTTGCAGAGGTGGAAATGTGAGGAGGACAAACCACTGAGCGGCGGCTGCCCTCTGCTCAACGTGGCACAGAACATGGACACTTGTCGTGGCCGCAAGGATGACGAGGATCTGAGTAATTATTTGGACCTGGAGTTTATCCTGGCCAACACAACAGGACCTCTAGAGGCGGGAGCTGAGTACGTCTCACACGCGGAGCCATGCAGCATGTACTCGACGGGAGCGTATGTGCCTCCGGAGCAATGCACCGCACCTCCTCCGCCGTACTCCAGCAGCCTCATGGCCGAGCTTCTGAGATCCGACGTGGACAACTCCTACGATGGCACCATTCAGGGAAGATTCATCATCAACTCGTTCCCCAGACAGGACTTTGTTGATATCAAAGTCGAGCCACCAATGGACGGTTACGGGCCGGTGATGGGCATGGTGCAGCAGAGCTGCCAAAAAATCAAACAAGAGGGCAACGTTTCATGCATGATGTCTTTCGAGCAACCCAGACTGGCCGTTTCTCCACAGGCGACGGGGAATATGACGCCTCCTTTGAGTCCGGATGACTCCCATCTGCGCCAAACCGCATTTCCGCAGGCTTTCCATCACTCGCCTCCGGCTTACGCTCAAATGCAGATCCCCTACACGGCGCCGCACCAGTTCGGCATGTTCGAGGACGCCATGGGGATGCAACCCAACATGCAAAGAGCTCTTCTGACTCCTCCATCCTCCCCGCTGGATCTAATGGAGTCCAAACCCAAGCGAGGGCGACGCACCTGGCCGAGGAAGCGCACGGCGACACACACCTGCACCTACGCCGGCTGCGGCAAGACGTACACCAAGAGCTCGCATTTGAAGGCGCATCACCGAACCCACACCGGTAAGAGCGTGTTTGACTTTGTCTTTAACTTGCATTTGTGTTTTGAAACCAGTAAAACTAATCCCATCGCTTTGCATCATCAGGTGAGAAACCGTACCACTGCAACTGGGAGGGATGCGGATGGAAATTCGCCCGTTCCGATGAGTTGACGCGTCATTTCCGCAAACACACGGGCCATCGGCCGTTCCAGTGCCACATGTGCGAACGCGCCTTCTCCCGCTCCGACCACCTGGCGCTGCATATGAAGAGACACCTGTGAGGACTGGATCCACAACCACATAACTGCCTTATTTAATGACTTAAAGCATAAATAAATATATCGTCATACACTTTTAAAAATAAAGGTTCCAAAAGAACCATTTTTGGAACCTTTCAGTGATCAGTTCTCAAAAGAACCATTTTTTTCTTAGTGTGAAGAACTTTTTAATAATCTAAAGAAACCCTTTCCACTATAAAGAACCTTTTGTGCATGGAAAAGGTTCCATGGATGTTAAAGGTTCTTCATGGAACCATTAATGCCAATAAAGAACCTTTATTTTTAAGAGCACTCCAAAGAATTTTGGTTCCCAAAGAACCTTTCAGAACCATTTGAAGAACAAATAAAGAACTTTTTACTCTATAAAGAACCTTGGAAAGGTTCCTTTGATGTAGAAGGTTCTTTATGGAACCATCCATGCCAAAAAAAGAACCTTTATTTTTACGAGTGTACTTTTGTAACAAGTAGCTGGTACTACATAGATTGAGCTCTTTTTAAAGCCTTTTATGGGTAATATGCGTCCTGAAGGGCTGGTCCTACGAATCTGTGTTCGATCGGGAGACGGCATGTATGTTTAACGGTGCCTTTCCGAAGCCACGAAGAGTGCAAAGCCTGACGACTAGCAAACCTCCAGTTTTCTAATGTAAATTGTAAAATGCACAACGACAATGTTTTGCTCTTGAAACTGCCTTGCTACTATGCAACAAACAGAGCTGTGTGTTCAAATGTGTTTGCATTTCTTTTCAAACGTCTTGTATCTTGATGCACATTGAGTGGTCAGTGCCTCGTTGCACCCTATGCTCTAGGGCTTGAGGTACTGGGGTTTTATACGATTGTGTACATACATTTTATATTGTAAGTACTGTATTTATTGTAAATATTAAACTAAATTTGAATATATATATTCATCAGGTCTCTGTTGTCTTTGCCTGTCATGTTCAGTCTGACCTATTGGATGTCGGCTGCTAGTCTCTTATTACGGGCTCCTTTGAAGCCACTGGAAATCGAGGTCCCCAGAAAATGGAGACGTTTATGGCAAGCGAGGGACGTTGCACGAGTGCTATTCTTGAACCCCCACTCAAGCTCGTGGAGTCGGGTATTATAGTTTAGACCAAGATGCTTTCCAGCTGTGTCAGGTTGAGGCCAGCAGCCTGTGGCTTCTGTCTATAAATACAAACACTACATTTACATAATTACAGAGAGAGCATTTATATCCGTCTGGACGGAGGGGCGCTCGGCTCTCGGCTGAAGATCCCAGACTCCAGAGACGCAGAAAAGACACGGACTTCAAAGAGACTCCAGGGGCGCTTTGATGTCAAACATGGAAGATAAAATCCCAAATCTGTATATTTTATAAAAAATATTTGTTTAGCATCAGCTCGTTTTGCATTGAGGCAGAAAAAAACATTCTAAGATTAAAAAAAAATAGGGGGGAAAAAATTGAAAGAAAAAATATATATACAGTACTATTCAAAAATGTAGACACACCTACACATGGTATATTATTACTATTTTTGTATATTTTAGAATAAAGAATTTTTTTTATTTAGATAAATGTTTTAGATATGGTCCAGTTCATCAATATAAAAATAATAAATCAAAATCATATATATATGATACACAGTATATATATAATGTCCACACATGATGTGCATACTTAATATAAATCAGAAAGCACATATATTCAAGTGTCAATTATATAGTATGCATAAAAATATATTAAAATATAAAAGTATATTAAATTCTTATTGAATGTGTAAATGTGTAATGTGAATGTCTAAAGTGTCAAAAAGCTTCTAAAAGCATCAAAAATATACATTCTAAAAATATGAAATGAAAATGCTATATAAAAATTATTTTATTCATAATTATAAATTTTTTATATATTTAAATATTTTATTAAATTATAAACAAGTGTCAAATGTACATTATGCATAATTTATAAATGTGTATATATATATATATAAATATATTTATGTGTGTGTGGTTGTACATGGTTGTGGTTGTACATGTGGTTGTGGTTGTGTTTTCATTTAAATGTTAAGTTTTGAAATTTTGTTTTATGCATTTGTCATTTTTATATAATTTCTTTATTTTTTAAATGTGTATAAGTAGTATTTATAAAGTTTTAGCTTTTAGTTTTGGATCTGTATTGAATGTGTAAATGTGTAATGTGAATGTCTAAAGTGTCAAAAAGCTTCTAAAAGCATCAAAAATATACATTCTAAAAATATGAAATGAAAATGCTATATAAAAATTATTTTATTCATAATTATAAATTTTTTATATATTTAAATATTTTATTAAATTATAAACAAGTGTCAAATGTAAATAAATAAATGTATCAATTTTATGTGCATACAAAGTATTTTAAATTCCTATTGAATGTCTAAATAAAGCATCCAGCTCTGTGCTTTTGTTTTCCAAGAGTTGAACTTGTTCTGCATTTGTGAATAATGTGTGAAAACAGCACTAGAGTTCCCTTTTATGCAAATTCGACAAAAAGAAGAAATGTGATCCTGACTATTATTAGCGACTCAGTGAAGTGAAGCAGAAATCTCATTTCACTTTTGTGTGCTGATGATAGTAACTTTTACTACCAATCTGACATGAACAGAAAAAAAAAACAAGCTTCTCTTTTTCCCCTTCAAAGCAAAGCTAATTTAAAGGGCTGTGTTTACTATGATTACTGCAATTCAACAGATTTCAAAGTAGAAATAAAGATCCCCTTCTATACAAGAACTAGTCTATTAGACATGAGAAATACTGCCAACTATTTTTAAAACAACATGCAATGAAACAATATGCAAGGACACTTTTAAAACAAAACACTGAATTTACTTCATTGAGTGGCGTCTAATTATCATGCAGATAAATACAGTAATGTTGAATTTTAAATCCAATTTTGTGTAAAAATGTCTTTACTTTTGGCAGTCTGATTATGAAAGTATGGAAGCTTGTTTCCGCCATGGGATAAAAAAAAATAGAAAAGGTAATTTTTATCTCACAATTCAGACCTTTTTCTTGCAATTCTGAGTTTATATCTGGAGATTCAAAATCAGAATTGCGAGATCTAAACTCAGAACTGCATGAAGAAAAGTCGGAATTGCGAGAAATAATCTCAAGAATTGTGAAAAAAGTCCAAATTATGAGATATAAACTCAGAATTGTGAAAGGAGTCAGAATTATGAGATAAACTCAGAATTGCGAGGGGGAAAAAAGTCAGAATTGCGAGATATAAACTCAGAATTGTGAAAGGAGTCAGAATTATGAGATAAACTCAGAATTGCGAGGGGGAAAAAAGTCAGAATTGCGAGATATAAACTCAGAATTGTGAAAGGAGTCAGAATTATGAGATAAACTCAGAATTGCGAGGGGGAAAAAAGTCAGAATTGCGAGATATAAACTCAGAATTGTGAAAGGAGTCAGAATTATGAGATAAACTCAGAATTGCGAGGGGGAAAAAAGTCAGAATTGTGAGAAAAAATCAGAATTGTAAGGTATAACCTCAGAATAATGAGAAGGTCAGAATTGTGAGTTATAAACTAAGAACTAGTTCTAAATTGTGAGATTAAAAACAATGGTGTAACATAACTAGAAATTTAAATGAGATATACAACTGGAAATGAAAGGTCAAATCAAGCGCATTGCTTTATTCAGGTACACTATGCTCAGTATTCATACTCCAAACCGCTCTAGGAGTACTGTACTGTATATGGCAATACAGTGTGCTGTTCTGAACACATCCATGCTGGTCAGTAATTCCTGACCCCACCATTTAACCACTCAGCACTAAAACCACAACTAAATCAAAAGACTAGACAAGAATGTCTGGCAAGGCCTCTAAACGAAGCGCACGTGTGGACGGTTTAGTAGGTGAGCGATCAAGAGCAAGAAAAACACAAATGAGGAAAGAGCTGGAGCCTTATGTTTCTGTCACCTGAGCCCTTCTCATTTGTCCATCTTAAAATCAGCTCTTTCAGCAGCCTTCAGTAAATCAAAACTCGCAGAGGAATTTCCTGTTATTCCAAGTGGGGGTAATTAACATACCGAAGCTAAAATTCATGCAGCTGTTCAATTATTTTCACACTTAGATCTCAATCTTTCCAAGGACTCCATTTCAGTCCGGCTTGAGCTCGAGCTTCATTCTTTAAGCTTGTGTTACTCGACAGATCCAGGAAAAACAGCAATTTGCTGAAGCCGTTCACAGAGCATTTGCAAAAGACAAACGTCTGATAGATGCGCAAAAGTCGCTCATTGATGCCGAACGTCACGACGTACAGGATGCTCATCCATCATTAGAGCCGCACAGCAGGACAAGTACAACACATACTAGATTTGGCATGAATAGAAACAGTTAAGCTCAGTTTCTAGATGCCGCTAACATGAACATGAGTAGATATGAAGTGTAGCAGGTGCACACGGACGGATCTGAATGCAGCTCAAACCGTCTGGCAACCGGTGGAACTGATGGCAGAAACTCACGATTAACTGGGCGATTTTAAAAGCAGATATTGAAGACTGCAGCTTCTTAATTTCATATTTGTCTTTCAATTCATGTAGATCATGCAACACCAAGGTCATGGGTTCAATTTCCAGTGAATGCATAAACTGATAAACTGTAAACCTTGAATGCAATAAGCTGCTTTAGACAAAAGCGTCTGCCAAATGCATAAATATCTAATGTCTATCTAAATATCCAAAATTTTAAATAAAAATATTTACCTTAATGGTCTCAAAGGTTCATATTCTTTAAAATATAAATTAATAAAAAATCCCCAAAACAAATATAATGAAATAATAAATTATATATATATATACAGTGCCGTGAAAAGGTTTTTGCCCCCTTCCTGTTTTTTTAATTTTTTGCATATTTGTCACACTTAAAAGATTCAGATCATCAAACCAATTTTAATATTACGCAAAGATAATGCAAGTAAATACAAAATGCAGTTTTTAAATGATAATTTCATTTATTAAGGGAAAAAAGCTGTCCAAACCTGCCCGGCCCTACGTGAAAAATTATTTGCCCCCCCCTCTTAAATCATGAAAGAACTGTGATTAACCACATCATTTTAGAAAGCTGAGTTAAATTTCACTAGCCACACGCAGGACTGATTACTGCCAGACCTGTTCAATCAAGAAATCACTTAAACAGAACCTGTCTGACAAAGTGAAGCATGCTTAAAGATCCCATCATGCTAACATGACAGTCACGACTGTAAGGTTTTCTTTTTATTTTGTTTTCACTCGCGATCTTTACAACACGCATTACATTACGTATTTCATGGCACACTCGTTTTATGCGTATTTGGCGCCACCTATTGTTGTGGGTGTATTATTGACATGTCAAAGTCTAGACCCTGAATATAAGACGACCGCGTTTTTTCAGATGTATTTCCAAGAAAAAAACATTGTCTTATATTCGGGACAATACGGTATATATATATATATATATATATACACACAATTTAACAATATTTATAACAGAAATAATAAAATAATCTATTATAATAAAATGTATATTTATTTCTTCATTTAAAGAAAATAAAAACTCTCTAGTGCATTCCGATAAATATGTTTGACATTTATTAAAACATTGAAAAGCAGCACACTAAAATCATTTTTAACCTTTTTCCACAAAAGAACCAAAACGCATAAAAACATTGAAGGTCAACAGAATCTTCAAAATGCTAAAAGAGAAAATCAAACCCATATAAACACCAGAATGACCTTCTCTAGCATATAAACAACCCATAACCTGCTAATTTTATGGTAAAGTATCACAGATACAATAAATATATGAATACATAATAAGAACAAGTTCAATATACAGTATAAGGCTTCACTTCAAGGCAAAATGTGTTTTAAGAAAAGGCTAGAAAAGGGTTAAAACATTATGAAAGTGGGCAGAGCTCCTTCAGGGGTGCTGGTTTGTGTGATCCGGTGTCATCTAGAGTATCTGATCAAGCTTTAAAGGGTTAAACACAAAAAATACAGCTCACATCATCTCACTCAACAGTGCCAAACACAAATAAAAACAGGTTCCTTCAAGAATAAAGAATATGCTTCATTTGATCTCCATGCATCTAATAAAACTCATAATATTCAACAGTATCTGGAGGGCAAATGAGATTTGGGAATGCATTGATTATGCAGGTTTATATGTAAATACAGACATCATATATGATCATATAGTGGACCGATGGCGACTAAATGTCATGCGTTTAGTAATTCATCCCTCTTATTAAACCAAACGTCTGGTTAAGACTTGGATTAATTTGATCATAGTCAAAAGTCCTGAAGACACTTAAATATGAAGCACTTGGGGTCGAATCTGCTTTTCAAAACCGACACTGGCTGCAGATAGAGGTTGATATTTCTTATATACTTCTGTGCATCAATAATTGACTTAAGACTGACTGGTCCTACAGTATTTGGTGAAGCTGTATATAATCTTTATAAAGCATAATTCAGTGGTTTAGCATTTTGTGCAGTTCATGAGCAAATGTGTCAAGTGGATCTGTAACTATGGCCTTTGGTTTTGTTGTACTTCATTGGTTCAGTGATCGCTACAGCAAACCTGAGAGAGATCTTCAGGAAGAGCGTGTGATTGGGGCAAAAGCTTCATCTGAAAGCTGAAGGATTGAATCCAAAACGTAGCAGCTTCATGTTCTGGGCATTTCAGCTCGACTGAGAGCCAGAGCCAGTTCCAGGTCCAGTTGTTCCTGTAGGCGGAGCCTCCGGATTCGCTCCGCCTCCTCTCTCTGGCTCTCGCGTTTGGCCCACTCCAGCTGCTCCGTCTCACTTCCGAACTGAACCTGAAAATAAACGACATTACAGAAACTACAATTCATCACACGCACACAGCAGAATGCATCCCTGTAGGGCTGGTCGACATATAACGAAAAAATATATATTGGCATCTTTCAGCCTTGACGATCTTGATATTTATGCATTTGCTCTGACTTTACTTTTTTTAAACAGATTCGTAGATTCAACATGTTTAATCTAAAAAGTAAAAAAGTATAGTAAAAACCTAGATAAAAATAATCAAGACATGTTTTTACAAAATAAGTAGGGCTGCAAGATTTGGGGGAAAATTGGTCGTTTGTTCATCTCATTTTACCGCGGATTTGTTTATAAACAAGGCACAATTCGTCACAGGATTTTCAGAAAGATTGAAACTAAAAGACGATGCTGTGCGACTATATTGGATCCGACGGTAATGTCGCACCACACAAGTGTGAGTAACGGTTTTTATTGCGTGCTCACTATTGCTTTGTCTGTTATTACAGATCGTTTGATATGTACTTGTGCGTTTTTAACCTAAATCACAGCAGCGCTCATCTGTGAAGGATGTAGCTGTCAAACACACACAACTGTTAGCCAATCACAGCAGTGAACGTTTACTTCTGAGTCTACAATCCACCACACCTATTCAAACAGAGCGATCAGATGAGAGAGGGTCAAAACAGGACAGAAATTAGTCTATTACTTCTGAATTATGATGTTTTTCAATGTAAAAATCATGATAACAGCATAAGTGGACCTCAGAGAACAGTAAAAAATAATAAAAAAGGCAGTTCATGACCCCTTTAAAGGGGTCACATGATGCAATTTCAAGTTTTCCTTTCTCTTTGGAGTGTTACAAGCTGTTCGTGAATAGATAAGATCCCTAAAGTTGCAAAGACTAAAGTCTCAAACCCAAAGCGATATTCTTTATAAAAGTTAAGACTCGTCCACGCCCTCCTAAAACGCCTCATATCAGAGCACACCTCGCTTTTTCAGACCGATGAGCTTTGTAAAAATCGACGCGTTTCAGAAAGGCGAGGCATAGAGGAGGAACAATAATCTATAGTATGTGGAAAATAATGTTTTTTTTTTACTTTAAACCGCATAAACGCATTTCATTACACCAAATACACAAAATAATGTTATTTTTTAGCAACGCCATGACCCCTTAAACACTTCTCTTTTGTTAATAAGTGCATGATTTTGATTTTATTTTGATTAATCCTGCAGCTCTACTTAATAGCCAAATAAAAAGTGCATCAAAACCACCACAATATTTATAATGTTGCTTAATTTTACACCACCAGTAAAAGCATCATGAATACATATATGACTGTTCAATATATCGCCCAGCCCTCATATCAAATCACATAACGGTGAATAAAATCACTCATTTCACATGAGCACAAGTGATGTGTGCAAAATTATATAACATCCGATCTGACGTGATTTTTTTTCTTTTTTTTAATTGGTCAAAAACACACTGATTATCATTTATATCATCTGTCGTGCAACCAGTGATTGAAAGCCAAGAAAACAACCAAAGCTGTGAAGCCTTTGGTTTCCATCAAATGTAAGTTACCAGTGACCGAACACACAGGGAATGAAGGCAAATCATCATGAACTATTCGCTTTTTGAGAGCCATTACAAAATCACACAGAATATATATATATATATATATATATTAGAGGAAATATAAAGATGACCTATAAAGCATTTGGTCATTTAAATCATACATAATGTATTCTGAATGTGTTTGCATTAGATAATAGAATATCATTTAATGTAAAGAAGGATGCAAAAAACATACTTTATAATCAAAAGTTGTCAAAATCATGAGAAAAATGACACTAAACAATTATAAAATAATACATTTAGTTGAAAACCTATTTCTTTTCCACTATTTTTATTACATTTGCTTGAAAAGTGTGCTATTTTACATTAAAATAAATGCATCTAATGCAATTGCATTCAGACATTTTAAGTGCAATTTCTGTATCCAAATACTTCCCATTACAAAACCATTTCTATACTTTCTAAAGCTTATTTGAATCAATCACGAACTGTATATCCGCTCTTTTCTCACTGCGATTGGTCAGCTGGTCTTACATTTGCTGCTGCTGTTTTAAAGAGCTTCAATATACGGTCTGATTTCTCAGGGAGATTTGTGAAGAGATTTGTGTGCACCCAGGGTGGAGTAGGTGTTTTATTGTTGACACAAACACATGCAGCAGCTCAGATGTGGTCGGCAGACCCACGTTTCACCTTACCTTCATGTGTTCAGTGCCTGGGAGAAAGACAAATTACAGCAAAGCTCTGAAGACACAAGCAGCAAGGCATACACAACACAAAACCTCATGCAACATGCAAACTGCATCTGCACAGCAGGGCACAGCACAAATACCATGCAACACAGGGTGCATTCAGGTCAGCCGAGCCACTTTTGGCCCAGCTGACCTGGATTTGACCTCAATGATAGATGTTTAACTATTAAAGTTCAATTCTACTAAACTGTTTACTCCTGATATGATCTAATAAGGTTGTGCAAAACAATTTAGCAGTGATACTTGCACAATTAACACAACTGAGTGTCTTCTGTAGCAACTACACTTAATTCCACGGAAACTGATTTAATACATTTATTTAAAAAATATTATTTTAAATGTAAAAAAAAAAAAGTATATACATTTGCAAAAACAACGTAAAGTAACTGTGACACTGTGGTGAAACCAGTTACCACTAGTGTCAGAAAACAGGAAGTGCTTTGGTAAAAGCTTCTCACTTTTCTAGACCAAAGTGTCATTCTGAGGTCATATTGTAATGATGAGTTTGTAAGGTCACTTTAATGTACTTCAAGAATATGAAAGAACATTTAAAATGATCCTAAAGTTTTATTCTTACCATGAGAGTCATGGGTATTCAAGCTTTTGTTGTCAAACATGCACAAGTAGTTTTCATATGCTGTTTGATTGAGTGAAAGAAAATAATATTGCACAGGAAAGATGGTGCTAAAGTTGTTGCAGAAACCAAGAGCTAGAAATTGTTAAAAAAAAACAAAAAACATTTAGACATCCTTAAAACAAAAGGAAAAACTGTAACAGACCTGCTTTCAGATAATCTATCTGGAATACAATTTATTTTGCCTTATTAGCAAATTGTTTTGTCTTATTCAAAGCATAAATGTATCAGTCAGATGTATGTATAAAATGTATTGTCTAAAACAATAAACAACTATTGGAGTAAGACAAATAAGCAGATTTTTGTCTTCAACCCTGTTATGGATGCCACTGAAGATGGATGCTTCTTATACATCAAACAGCTGTTACTGATTCTAATCAGATTGCTGAATACTAAATATGAACTGTATGTAAATGATGTTTCCTCTGCAGAATTTGTGCATCATTGGTCTCATCATTTTAATGAAAATCAAAACTATTTTTGTTCCACAGACTTGAAAAGCTTATTACATTTTGTTGAACTAACTTTAAAAAGTCTGAGGTTCATAAATATTAGCAGAGTCTAAGAATGACCCATGTGTGTTCATGAGTCCATCTCGCTTGATATCAAAGGTTTGGCTGAAAGCAAACAGGCCGTCTGGTTCAATCTTCAACAAAGGGTTTGTTCCACTACAGAACTACACTCTTGTTGCTTCTGTTCAGCTGCATCACCAGTTTTAAAATCCTTCAACTACAGATCACTCATGTTTTCATCTCGCTCCAAAAAAGCACCATTGAAGTGTGTTCTGAAGGCATTTGTTAGCAAAAACATTATAGTGCACAATTTGTATGGACTTCTGACTTGTACAAGTTTAGAACAATATGAGGGTGAATAAATGATAAACTATCACTTTAAAGGAATGGCTCACCCAAAAATGAACATTTGCTGAACATTTACTTGCCCTCATGCCATCCTAGATGTAGATGAGTTTGTTTCTTCATCAGATTTGGAGAAATGTAGCATTGCATCACTTGCTCAGCAATGGATGCTCTGCAGTGAATGGGTGCCGTCAGAATGAGAGTCCAAACAGCTGATAAAAACATCACAATAATCACAAGTAATCCACACCACTCCAGTCCATCAGTTAATGTCTTGAGAAGCCAAAAGCTGCGTGTTTGTGAGAAACAAATCCATCATTCAAACGTTTTATTTTAAACGCTTCCTCCAGTAAAAAAAGTCCATCTCCTGTTGTCATCTCACATCAAAATCCAGCCGTATATTTGTTTAGAGCTGTTTTGGCTTGTAAACAGTGCTTGATCTGCGCAGATTTCTCTCCTGATTCAGACCAGACCACTTTTTCACTATAGAAAACAATATTATAGATAGAGGACTCATATTTCAGCTGAAACCAACAGTTTGAAGTTAAAACATCTTAATGATGGATTTGTTTCTTACAAGCAAATCTTACAGAGGTGTAAAGCGTGGCATGATTCTGGCATCAGCACGCGCGGGACAATGCAAACGGGCAAAACAGCAGCGCAGGAAGCAGCGATGGCAAATGTCGGGATGAAGCGGATGCAACTACAAACTATGACAGCAGAAACTAGCTAGATGGAGATGATCAGACAGCATGACACTGGACTTACAGTTCGACAGGACGGGTTAACAGCAGACGGTAACGTTGAGGACGAGGAGCCGGGTCCTCTGTCCGTTTGTGTCTTTCGAACGGCTGGAGCACCAAACCCTTGACTATGAACCCCTGAACCGCTATATGTGACGGCGGAATTCTTCCCTGAAAGTGTCAAAGAAAACAAAGATGACCCCCAAACACCAACAGAGCAGTTCAGGTACAAGAAAAGATAATTAAATTCATGAAAAGTGCTGTAGAATTCAGTCAAAAGCAGCTGAACTTTATTACTCTGATCACTTAGTAAAATAACAGTGCATCTCACATGATCTGACCAAACATTTCATCACATATAAGCACTAATAAGAGTGATGATCGGCTATTTATTATTGCTATTTAATATTATGGCTGTTTATCAGCAGTACAGATGATTTCGATCAACTAACGAAGGCAAAACATCTATAATAAATGCAGTTGCTTTAAAGTCCAGTTGCTTTTCTCCAAATTCTGTAATAACCTGGATGAACAAGACCTTCACAAAGCTATTCAAAGGTCTCTAGATGAAGGACACCCTTGATTTGTGGAAGAAAAAAGTGACAGCAATCAAGAAAACCAGATGTAAAAATCCACATGAATTCAGCAGCTTCTTCAGACTCAAACTATATTCCATATTTGAACATGCAAAAACCCAAATATTGAGTAAAATAGTACATTATTGATTATATTAATTTTTCATGAATTCTATTTGTTATTGCATGAAATAAGTACATTTAAATATATTTAAATATATAATAAATCATAAAATAATAATTAAATAATAAACAATAATAAATGTATTATTTATAATAAATAAATATGTATAGTATGTAATAATAAATATAATAATAATAGTAATAATAATAATAAAATTATATTTTTAAAAAACATTTCTCTTAGATACATTTTTTCAGCAAGTTCATTGCAATGCATTCTGGGATTGTTTTCTGCACAAAGTGAGGCATCTTAGATAAAAGGCTCATATTCACCAGCGGTGCACCAAAACCACTGCATAAGTTTCATTTCTTCAGAATATGAGCAGTATTTACAAACCTTTAAAAACTGCCAACACCAACCACTACCCACTACAACAACCAACAAGATTTAAATGAGCTCGATATGAGGTGAATCTCACAAAACCTGTCAAGAACCAGCAGCAAAAACATATATGCAATTAAATGCATTACTGTAATGAAATTATTTTTTATTTAGATTATTAAACTTTCATTTTAATTGTAAAATAAATTAAAAATTTTAATTTTTTTTGTAAATTGTATTATATAATTTCTAATTGTAAAATACATGTTTTAATGCTTTTTTGTAATTACAAAAATATTGTATTACTGTGATGATCTAATGATAGTGACAATTAAGATATATGCAATTAAACTAATTATTGTAATGCAATGATTTGTATTTGTATATTATATACATTTTAATTGTAAAATAAATTGAAATGTAAAAAATTGAAATGTAAATTGTATTATATAAATTTTAATAGCAACATACCTGTGCTTTTTATGTTGATTTTTTAAACAAAATAAATTGTGTATATAACTCACTATATAAATAATTACTTTAATGCATTTTTTTATTTTGTATACAGTATATAATTCAGTATATATAAATTGTAAAGTACTTGTATGTTTTTTGTTCATTTAAACACTTTAAAAATTATTGTATAACAGTATTTTTAAGTAAAAGATGCTATATTACAGTAATGATGATCACTATTGAGAATAATAAACCCCTCGAAAAAAAAGTAGTAAAATAATAAATAATAATAAATGTCACAATGCAAAAATCTTTTTGGTCCTAAAATTATTTAACTTTGGGATAAAATATGACCCATACATATTTTCATGAGATTCACCTGAAAAAGAAATGCATTAAAGAAAAATAAAGAATTAAAGTGGCTTAAAAAGGAATGATGGTAACATTTACATGTGAAAGCTGCACCATTAATATTCTGTATGAAGTGTTCAGCAGGATCATTCAAAGTGAAAACCCATAAGAAGAAGTTTCAAAGTGTCATACAGATCAGAAACGTACAGCATTTACAGTTCCAGAGGAGTGTGAGAACCTGGCATAAACATATTTAGCCAACCGTGGGAACACTGGTGCTCAGTGTAAGGGTGTGAACCACGAACTTTAGAGGAACTCACTTCTCTAGATCTCTCTCACCACTACACAGGCCTCACGTGCCATGGAGAGGAAGAGCTTTTTCTTTCTTAACTCAGAGATAGCAGTGAAACTACCAGCGCCGCACCCATGCCCTTTCTGTGCCTGTTATAGTAATAAACACACCACAAACAATCTGCTGCATCAAACACACGAGTGAATTAGTAGTGTAAACACCTCGCTGTGAAGGTGACACATCGGAACAGTCCTAGTGTAAAAGCGCTGAATACAGAGCGTCAACACATGCTGGTGCTAGAGGTGACTTCAGTGTGTTTATAAGAGAGACTGGAGCTCAATGTGCAAAATAAACTGTATTCAGATATTTATCTTTGAGCCTGAAACATACTTATAATAATTAATAATGAATTATACAAGTACATCGACTCACGTAAAGTAATACTAGTATATAGCAAATCTATTTATAATTAATAATTATATTTCTTTTAATTATTTATAATTAATCATTAATCTTAATGAATTGTTTATATCGTCACAACATATACACTATATCACCCAGCTCTTTATATATAGTTGGATATATAGCATATATGTACATAAAACGTATTTTTGGGCTTATATGAACAACACTTAAAACTTCTAATAATTCACAAATTAATAAACAACAATGAATTAAACAATAAGTATATCCACTCACATTATGTATGTATGTATATATACTATGTATGTATGTATGTATGTATATATATATATAAGATAACAAATCTATTTAGGATTAAAAAATTATATTTAAACTTTTTTAAATTGATCCATTTTAATCATACATGCATACTATTAAGTATACTTATATATAATTATTTAATTCATAATTAATTATTTATGTTGATTTGTAAATTAAAAATATTGTATTAATGATAGTGACAATAAAGAAATATGCAAATAATCTCATTGTAATGAAATTATTTTAATTTTATATTATATACATTTTAATTGTAAAATAAACTTAAATGTAAAAATGTAATTGTAAAATACCTGTTGTAATGCTCTTTATGTTGATGTTATAAAATATTGTGTATATATACACACACATATAATATATATATATATATATATATATATATATATATATAAATAAAGTACTTGTATGTTTTTTGTTCATTTAAACACTTTAAAAATTATTGTATAACAGTATTTTTAAGTAAAAGATGCTATATTACAGTAATGATGATCACTATTGAGAATAATAAACCCCTCGAAAAAAAAGTAGTAAAATAATAAATAATAATAAATGTCACAATGCAAAAATCTTTTTGGTCCTAAAATTATTTAACTTTGGGATAAAATATGACCCATACATATTTTCATGAGATTCACCTGAAAAAGAAATGCATTAAAGAAAAATAAAGAATTAAAGTGGCTTAAAAAGGAATGATGGTAACATTTACATGTGAAAGCTGCACCATTAATATTCTGTATGAAGTGTTCAGCAGGATCATTCAAAGTGAAAACACATAAGAAGAAGTTTCAAAGTGTCATACAGATCAGAAACGTACAGCATTTACAGTTCCAGAGGAGTGTGAGAACCTGGCATAAACATATTTAGCCAACCGTGGGAACACTGGTGCTCAGTGTAAGGGTGTGAACCACGAACTTTAGAGGAACTCACTTCTCTAGATCTCTCTCACCACTACACAGGCCTCACGTGCCATGGAGAGGAAGAGCTTTTTCTTTCTTAACTCAGAGATAGCAGTGAAACTACCAGCGCCGCACCCATGCCCTTTCTGTGCCTGTTATAGTAATAAACACACCACAAACAATCTGCTGCATCAAACACACGAGTGAATTAGTAGTGTAAACACCTCGCTGTGAAGGTGACACATCGGAACAGTCCTAGTGTAAAAGCGCTGAATACAGAGCGTCAACACATGCTGGTGCTAGAGGTGACTTCAGTGTGTTTATAAGAGAGACTGGAGCTCAATGTGCAAAACAAACTGTATTCAGATATTTATCTTTGAGCCTGAAACATACTTATAATAATTAATAATGAATTATACAAGTACATCGACTCACGTAAAGTAATACTAGTATATAGCAAATCTATTTATAATTAATAATTATATTTCTTTTAATTATTTATAATTAATCATTAATCTTAATGAATTGTTTATATCGTCACAACATATACACTATATCACCCAGCTCTTTATATATAGTTGGATATATAGCATATATGTACATAAAACGTATTTTTGGGCTTATATGAACAACACTTAAAACTTCTAATAATTCACAAATTAATAAACAACAATGAATTAAACAATAAGTATATCCACTCACATTATGTATGTATGTATATATACTATGTATGTATGTATGTATGTATATATATATATAAGATAACAAATCTATTTAGGATTAAAAAATTATATTTAAACTTTTTTAAATTGATCCATTTTAATCATACATGCATACTATTAAGTATACTTATATATAATTATTTAATTCATAATTAATTATTTATGTTGATTTGTAAATTAAAAATATTGTATTAATGATAGTGACAATAAAGAAATATGCAAATAATCTCATTGTAATGAAATTATTTTAATTTTATATTATATACATTTTAATTGTAAAATAAACTTAAATGTAAAAATGTAATTGTAAAATACCTGTTGTAATGCTCTTTATGTTGATGTTATAAAATATTGTGTATATATACACACACATATAATATATATATATATATATATATATATATATATATATAAATCGCAAAGCAATATATATTTTATATGTTTATACATTTAATACATACTATTATCCTGTAAAAATAAAAAGCATATATGAAGTTTAATATAAAGTGTTACCAATTTAAAATGAAAATGGAATATTCGGAATGGAAAATAAGGTATTTTTTATTGTTAGTTCATGCTAACTGATGTAGTTAACTAATGTTAACAAATGCAACCTTATTGTAAAGTGTTTTACCAAAAAAAAATCCTTATACTTTCACCATCTCAGAACTTGCATGACAAATCACTTTGTTTAATTCCTCGTGTTTGGATAAAACCATCAGCTAAATGTATAAATGGTCACAGAGGTCTAACCCACCACTACGCAACTCGTCATGGTAGAGGCCGGGTAACCTCTACACCGCTGATA